AGGTAAAAACTTAGGAGAAATAGCCTAACCATGTGATAGATTGGGCCGTGGACACTCTCCCAAGAGATTTAATGGACAGTTCAACTCCAGGGAGTTCTCAAACAAGACTGGGCAGAGCATTAGAAAATGTAGGTTCCTATCCTGCAGTGGTGCCTTGGACAAAGATTGGAAGATTGTGTTTATTTATGAAAATTCATATGCTCCTCCTCAAGGTAGTACCCGAGCCTTCCAGCAGTGCATCAAGCAATGTCACTAGCATCTGTCATGTGGCTTCCTTCTCTATCATCTTCATGCTCTAATAAGTCTTCAGTTTCTAAGCCCTGTCATGTACAAAGAAGCTGGCATCAGGTCTCCAACAGCAGATGGAAGATGTCCCTTTACTAGCCTATGGCTTACCATTTTTCGATTTGATATGTTAGCCAGAAATGTCTACTCTAGTCTTTGGGATGGCAGAGTTTAACTTGGACTCAATATCAGCATTTATTTGGCTGAGGGGCGAACAGCAGCATGCTAAAGAGTGACTGTGTGTGTGTGAGATGTCTTTCTCCTGCCTCAACTTCTTGTCCCTGCACGGGGATGGAGCTGCCACACTATTTCCATCACAATGGAGCTAGCCCCTGCAGTCCCTAGGTTCTGCCTCCGTCTGCAGAAACACAAATTCTGCATGCATCTGTATGCGTGTGCACACCCATAATGGGTACGTCTAAACTACATGGCTCCGTCGATGGAGCCATGTAGATTTGTTGTTTTGGCAAAGTCAAATGAAGCCACGATTTAAATGATCATGGCTTCATTTAAATTTAGATCATTTAAATCGCGGCTTCATTTGACTTTGCCTATGTGTCTAATCTACATGCCTCTGACAACAGAGGCGTGTAGTCTAGACACAGCCAATGGTGTGATACCCATGTCACAGCGAAGAGGCATGTATGTGCGTAACCCAAAGAAATGATGAATAAGCCAGACACAAAGATGATCAGGATTAGGTCTTTTATTAGGTAAGTTTCCAGAAAACCCCTTCCATCTTTTCTTTCCTGGACTATCTCCCAGTCCTGAGCTCCGGCTCCATTTGGGACTGCTACATCCCAGCAGAAGCAGCAAGCACACCTGCCTCTGCTCCATCCTGTGATCTCTTCTGAAATGGCGCTCCCATCCTTCAGTCAGAATAGAGGGCTGGCTGCAAGAAATTAAGGGTCCGATTTCCTGCCCATTTTTCTCCAGATCTTGACCTTGCGGCTAAATTGTTCAACTGTATGTATCACAAATGGCCTTATAATGGGCAGAGCAGCTGCAGGCACCGGAGGATGTTTACAGTCATAGACTGAGCAAAGAACAATTGTCTGAGGGTTTCCAAAGTGCAGCTAGCTCAGGTATGGAACTATGTCCTTGTCAGCCAGCGCCTAGTCTGTTCTCCCACAGCAGTGGCTCTGGGAAAAGACACTAATGGTTTCTATGGCCCAGGGGAATCGTTTACAAGTAATCATTGTTAATCTATGTAATTTCTGGGCATCTTCATCTCCCTAGCAACAGTAACATTTATGGCTGCCTTGCTCTGAAGTGAAATGCTGCTTCTCAGCAGGGCTTTTCTGCTGCGAAATATTCCATCAGTCATAACACTGGGGAAACGGCTCTGTTAATGACATTAAATGGGTATGGGGCTAGCATAAGAGAGCAGACGCAGAACTGATCTATGTTTTTATAAGAAAATCTCAGAGGGGTAGCCGTGTTAGTCTGTAGTTTTAAAAACAATGAGCAGCCCTGTGGCATTTTAGAGACTAACACATATATTAGGCTTTTGTGGGTAAAAACCCACTTCATCAGATGAGCTGGAGTGGAAATGACAGAATCCAGAGTCCAACACTTACCCAAGCTGCAACAAAGGATAAATGAACACAAATCAGACACATAAACCTATAGGGGAACATTTTAACCTCCCTGGGCATTCCATGAGGTTTAACTGTTAATTGGAACTAAGGGGTTTATCTTGGAATCGCGCTTTTCTGCTGCGTGTAGACGCGGGCAGTTACTTCGGGCTAGTCAGTTTCCAAAATGGCGACCGGCCGAGAATATGCTAATCAAGCGCAGGATATTTAAATCTCACGCTTCATTAGCAATTTTGGTTGCCCTCATTAGCCTTCCTAGTTCGAACTAGGGGGCTAGTGTAGACATACTCTGAGACTTTCTATTACGTGTCAGGCATTCCGGTGGGCTCATCACCCCACAGCTCTGCTGTTTATATTGGCTCCCATTGCCTAAGAATCCAGTTCAAGAGTTCTGTCCTCATGTTTCAAACCTCTGGGCCTAGCCATCCAAGAGGCCATCCTTCCCTTCAGAGCCATCGCTTTGCATATCACAGGACTCCCTATCTCATGGGGTTCCAATTGGTTCCTTTGACAGTCTCAGTGTAGGACCTAAGACTGAATGGGAAGTTGGGTAGGGCATCCATACACATTGGAACTACACCATGGGAGAAGCTGGAGCACATGACCTAGAGGGCTGGAGCACATGACCTATGAGGAAAGGCTGAGGGATTTGGGTTTGTTTAGTCTGCAGAAGAGAAGACTGAGGGGGGATTTGATAGCAGCCTTCAACTTCCTGAAGGGAGGTTCCAAAGAGGATGGAGAAAGGCTGTTCTCAGTAGTGATGGTTGGCAGAACAAGGAACAATGGTCTCAAGTTACAGTGGAAGAGGTCTAGTTTGGACACTAGGAGGGTGGTGAAGCACTGGGATGGGTTACCTAGGGAGGTGGTGGAATTTCCATCCCTAGAGGTTTTTAAGTCTCGGCTGGGTTGATTTACCATGTTTTAGCATAGATAAATCGCGGGTTATGAAAAGTTTTACACACACACACACACGGGCTATATTCGTCTGCGTGTAAATAAAGGTTTTTTTTACTTCGGTGATGGTTGAGGTGCCGAATCAGAATTGTTGTTGTAGCCTGAGCAGCTGTCACAGGGAGGGACCAAGCAGGCAGAGCAGAGGGGGATGAGAATTCAGGGAAGAGGTAATCAGCTGTGGGGAGGGAGAGGAGATTCCCCTGCTGTGGGAATACCCGGCGACCTTCTTCCCTCTGTTGTGTCTGTCCGAACGTGGCTGCCTCTCCGTGTGTGTGTGGGGAGGGTGCTCTGTTGAAGGACACAGCTCCTTTGCTCAGCTCCTGGCTCCGGCTGCCTGGGGCAGACAGCTCACCCCGGGGAGAGTGCACAGCACCCCGAAAGGCAGCTGGGGAGGGTTGGAGATGGTGCGAGGGGTAAGCCCAGTCACCTTCCCTTCCCATGCAGCCTGGGGCAGACAGCTCACCCGGGGAAGTCAGCCTGTCTGCCCTGTTGGGCTCTGGCCATCTACTCTGCGCTTTGGCAGTTGTGTATCTGGGAGCTCAAATACGTCAAATGCTTCTGCGCGACAGACTCAGACCCTGCCGCCTGAGTTAATTACCCTTGTTATCTTTCATTAAGTACCCGCGGTTCACCTCCCGCGGGCTGTACATGTGCGCCACCCGCGGTTCACCTCCCGCGGGCTGTACATGTGTGCCGGGTATGTAAGATTTTTTTACTCAATCAGGAAAAAACGCGGATAATACACAGGTGCGGGTAATACTCGGGTGTGGGTTATATACAGTAGTTGGGATTGGTCCTGCTTTGGGCAGGGGGCTGGACTTGATGACCTCCTGAAGTCTCTTCCAGCTCTAGGATTCTATGATTCTGAGCTGGCAGTGCCTGTTCTGAGGCTAAGTAGAGGCTGTAATTCCTGCTCCTTTCAACCAGCACCAGATTCACTTTCCAAAAGCTGACTGCTCTTATCTTAGGAGCTTGCTTCATTAGGAAAATATACAGAGCTTGCTAACTCTAGTGCTATCATGTGAGTGAAGACAGAGACAAATTTGGCCCACCATATCCAGTGCACAGTGTCTCCTCTTCTTCCCTCATCTATGATTCCTCTTTAGCTGGGATACCGGCAAGCTCTCAACTGTTGGCCAGAGATGAGCTCAAAGAGTAGGTTGTTGTAGTTGGCACTTGAACTGCCATTACCTTTCTTTGTGCTTGACTTCAAACTGATCATGAAAATATATTTACATAGGGTAGCAGTTGTGAGATATGAAATAGGTAAAGAAGAGCAGGGTGGCTGCTCTCTGCTAGGGGAGATGTTCAAAGTATCCAGTTAGGTCTGTATGAATTACCCTGCCTTTTTCGCTTTCTGGAGTAAACGCCCCCAGAGCTCATACACAGTCACCTGCAGTGATCAGAGCAAAGTGTGATTTGAGTTTTTAAGTTACCGAGTGTCGTGATGGTGTGTTATACTAAACTAGACTGCTGTATGTCAGGCATCATTGTGATGTGCATTCTAATCATGGCAAGGACATTGAGAGCATAGGGATATGTGATTTTGTTTTGGTTTGCTTTTGCCATTTCCATAAAAAGAAGCAAAGTCATGGGTCTGTGTCTGAAAGGGTCTCAGTAGCATATGCGATGGAACTGAAGGTGCTACCATCCCCTCTGGCTTGAAGTGGTTTCCAATATATTCAGTTTGGTTCAATGGCTCTCAGCACCCCACTATACATATTGTTCCAACATCCCTGGGGGAAATTCCCCTGGTGCTTTAGATCTAGAGTCCCAGGTATAATTTCGGAAGAAATCCATTGGGGGGGGGATTTATCTTTAGATAGGTAGTAGGCTTATTTTTTTAAAGGCAGCTATTTGGAGTGACACAGGTATTCAGAAGGTCAGAATGAGTTTCAGGAAGCTGGATTGCTGGGCTGAGGGTAGGTGATGTGATCAAAGGTGAGGCATTGGTCTTATGCCTGTGAAATTTATCATACACATCTCCATTTATCACATCCATCTACCTGGCATATGGTATGTAATATGTGGGTGATGCATAAATAGGTGGTATTACTTGTATTGCGGTTGTACTAGGAGCCTCAGTCATGCACCAGGAACCAGTTGTGCAAGATGCAGGACAAATAAAGAACAAAAGGGTGGTGTCTGCCAAGAACTGCTTACCCTGGGTGCCTGCATATATCTGGAAGATGGCAAGTTGTCCTGTTTTGTATCTCAGCAGAAAACTTGTTCCAAGATGAACTATCCTGTAATAGACTAGCAGTGAAATAGTGAAACAGCCCTCCCCCACAGACATACACACACAGTGGGTATGAAGTGGATGGGGGTTTTCTGGTGATTATATCCAACTTCTATTTAATTGTGTGCAAGTTTGCTTAGTATTCCAAATGCTGCAAAGAAAGATGGGCACTTAGATGAGGCTGCAAAAGGTTTTGTAAAGTTAAGCACATGGTGTAAGCATTTGCAGGAGGGCTTTGTGTATTAATTCTAACAGACACAAGCTATTTAATGATGTGTGCATGTATCATATAATGATATTTATTCACAAAAGAAATCCATCTTGGATTGATTCATCATTGTAGTAAGAGGACCTTGTGAAAGAGGGATTCTGTTTAGCTTAAAGAGGTTCTGACCAGGAAGAATTCAGCCATGATACATTAGACAATTTCAATGCAAGTAAATAAAACACCCAATTTTAATTAAAGGAATAGTACAAGGTAGCAGTGTTATCTTCAAGGGAGGGGGTATCTATCTGGTATAAGCTTACACCTGGTGTGATTATTGTCCCACAATAGAGTATATCTGATCCGTCCATGAACCCACACATAAACTGTTGCCCCTCAATACATACAAGAATCTGATATAACCATGAATCTTGTTATGTATTAATCTTGATTTATAATCTATTTTGAGTTCTCCTTTGTCCATTAGGCCCAGGGGTGCTGCTTTGCCAGCTACACAAACTCCTTCAGCTTTACTTGACAGCCCTGGATCTCAGTATCTGATCTGTTCCTAAGCATCGCCCTCTTATTCCAAGAAAGGTACTAGAAACGGTATATAGAACTATTCAAAAAGAATCTACATACCTCCTTTCCTGACCTTGGCAAGTTAACCTGCTCTGATTTCAACTGGACAGCTTGTTACATGGATTCAAAGCACATTTTCTCAATGCTGGGTTAGGACAAGTGCTGCAATATTTATAAGCCTGCTAAGTTATTCTGAGAGGCCCAAAGGGAAAGAACTGTCCTCTTGACAATGAGGCCCATGTGAGAAAATACCCAGCATCCCAAGCTTCTGTTGAAAAGCTATTAGGGTCTCAAGATATGGGGGGAGGGATGCTAGATAACCCTAGGGCCTAAATGAATGGGGTAGATGTTCCATGGCACTGTAAATACTTAGGGTGGGGGCCGATCAAGTGTGACATGCCAGGAGAAATAAGCTTCTGTAGTTTAAATAGAATGGAAGGCAGACAACCTGGCTCTCCATCAGCAGGTACTGCTGACTGCTGCAGGGGCCACGAAGTGTGAAATGGGAATTGGGCTGTAGTGTTGATTTGCAGAGATTGGAGAGCATATTCACGTGCACTAACTATAAAATGGTAGCTAAATGTTTCAGAATGTCTAGCATTTTACATTTTCAGAGCAGAGTCTATTAACCAATTCATCATCATGGTGTCCCTCCAAGGTCAACATTATTGTATCCATGTTACAAAGTAGAGGAAGAGGGACTTTGCCAAGCTCTCAAAGTGAATCTGTGGCAGAGATGGGGCTAGAAGTCAGGGACTCCTGTTCCCTAGTCTGGTGATCAGCCCTGTGACTGTGTCCTTGTCTGCTGTTGCCTGGGGCAGAGGCAACTGTGGGGATGACAGGAGATTTCTATCACTAGATTTTCTCATGACACTCATGCTGGGAGAGCTTTGATTGATATGCAGAAGCAATTTACTGTCAGGAACAGCTCCTGGTAGCTGTAAGTCTCTGTTTCTATGGATGCCCCTTGAAATGATGGGGGTCATTTCCAGGATCTTGTGGAGGAATGGAAGGGGACCCCCATATTGATGTTCACAGGAAGGGACCAGCTGACCTTGGACCAATGTTACTTACAATAACCAGGGGTGCTGGAACAATTTGTATAGTGAGGGTGCTGAGAGCCACTGAACCAACCTGTAAACCATGTATATAATGAAAATGACTTCAAACAGTACCCCTGCAACATTAGTTCTAGCAGCCAAGCCCATAACCATTTCCCATCCAGCCTGCAAGCTACATTTGTGCAGGCTACTGATTTCACAGTGCTAGCGTGTTCACCTCTCGCAGTGCCCACCATGGACCCTGCAAAACCCCAGAGTTCATTTCATTATGCTGCTAGCATAGGTAAGGTAGCACCTCTATTCCTAGCCCCAAGGACTTGGGAAAGAATAAAGCAGGGAGCAAGGTTCCAGGGAAGGCATTCCTACTTTAGACAGATGAGGTAAAGATGAACAAAAGGCCCAAGGCCACAGGCAAGATCAGTCCAACTCTCAGCTCCATGGCTGATGAAGAAGAGGCTGAAGCAATGAGCTTTGGGAGCACCTTCCTTGAGGAGGATTCATTGGCTACCTGAGAAGAAGAGGTCACAGCATGTCAATGAGTGAGTGGGCGAGAATTCCTGCTCTCTGCTGAACTCTATAATGAACAAATAATAAAACATTAATACAATGCTCATGCAAACAGCAGCTCTCACGCCAGGGAATCCCTTAGGCACACATTATTTGATGTACCACGCTAATGCTGTCATCTCTGGTGCTGAACATGGGAACTGATTAACTGTTTTCAAGTACATGAGGTGCATACGTGAAAGTAATGAAGTTGGCTGAAGCTGCACAGGGGAAGTGAGGCAGAACGTGGATACCCCAGAAGGAATATGTCCAGAACTCCAGGGCAAAACCCCCGCTCTCTTGGAAAGCACCGGGGGATATTTAATGAACACATGTAGGTGTGGAGCTGTGCATCTCATCCTCAGGGCATTGTAATGGGATGTTGATTCATTACTAGTGCAATAGGAAACCAGTCCCTATGAGAACTGGCAATCCCAGTCCCATTCCAGCTGGGCTCTGTGGCTTCATTCTGAGCTCGCTATGCATAAACGTTGCAATCTGGAGATCGTCTGTTTCACCTGTAATTAAAGACAGTAATAAGGGAACCTTCCTGTGTCCCTTTCCCTTCAGCAAAGGAGCTTGGATTTGCTTATCTCTCGTGGCCACCTGCAATACATTTCTCACCACAACATTCTAATGCTGTCGGGATCTCCATTCCCTAGACTGTGATTCCACTCCTCATTCAAAAATGTAATTAAATCAAATCTAGAGAAGCAAGGAGCATACTGTGGTGCTAAATAGGAATTTTATTCTTATCGAGTAGATAAAAAAGGGGAGGAACATTAAGGACTTGTTTTTACCATTCTCTTCATTCCCAGTGCTGTCCCGAGCAAACAGGTCGCTTGATTAGCTAGTCGGAGCAATGTTTCATCGTCAGCCCAATCCTGCCTCTGCAATGATCTCTTCAGACAGAGCAGCAACTGTTTACACTTAATACTTCTTCATAAGGCAACAGAAAGGACTTTCCTTTAGGGCAACCTCCAGCAGGAAGACACCCCTGTTCCCATTTCTAGCCTGAGGATCTCAAAGCATTTGCCAATATTAATCATTAGAGCTTACACTGGAAGTATTATAATCCCCATTTTATAGAGGAGGAAACTGAAGCACAGAGAGATGAAAGTGATTTGTCCAAAGACAGACACTGAGTCAGTGGTAGAACCAGGAACAGAACCCAAGATTCCTGGCTCTCAGTTCTAAGCATCATACTGTCAGTCCCCGTAATACACGAGGTTCGAAGGGATGCCGGAAAGGATGAGACCACAACTGGGAGTTTTAAAAAGCACAAGCTGATTTTATTTTGATGACGCCAGACAATCATCAGAACAAAAATTAAGCAGATTGCCAGACAACACAAAACAATTCCCTGAGGCTTTTCTAAATCACAATAATTCCCAATAACTGCCCAGGGGTTAGGAACAGTTGAATTAACACTGGTATTGTTCATAGTGCTGATTATTTACACAAAACCCTAAACCACAACTATTTATAAGCTAACTTAGTAACTTTTTAGCCACTGTCACTTGACAAGCAATAAGGACTACTAAGAAATCAATTAGGATAGGGATGATGGCAGGGAGAGGGTGGGGTGTTATACCAGTTCTGGAGACAGCAGGAACACAAGTACCGGTCGCATGCTCATAAACTGTCTCCACTCGGGTCGACCAACTTGGAGTACGCTCAGTAAGACTCAAGAGCGGGGGGTGCAAGGCGTCTGGGTGATCAGGCCAGGTGTTCACTCGATGCGAATCCCCAGTGAGAGAGGGGCTGCCTGCCTGTTTTATTGCCTGTGAACTTATCACCCCATAGGTTGGTTTTTGGTGGGTGGAGTAGCAGGCCTGAGCACAAGTCAGCCCATTGGCTGATCTTTCACTGCAATGGGTGGAGCGAGCAGGGGAAGATTATTAATTTACATGCCCTTATATGGAAAACACTCTACCTCACAGACAGAGCCCCCTATACCAAGGTGAGAGCGCACGTAAGGGTAATTAGCAAGAAGCCAATTGAGTAAATTGAGGTTCTGGTGAGCTGCTGTTTTCAGAAAGGGGGGGAAAGGAAGAATAAGTAACAGTAACAGGGAATGCGGAAACAACTTTGTGGATAAGAGCTTCTGCAACAGCAGTGCCCACTAAAAAGGCTAGTAACACAAGAGCACATACAATCAACCACTGCTTAATGGTGGATGCCCAAGTACTCAGTCCCCAAGAGGAAAGTTTTGTTTGTCACCAGTCCCATTCTTCCCACTGTTCGCGAATCCAAACCGCAAGTGAGGTCAGCTGTTGGGTGACGGCTGAAACGTTGTTCCACCCGGGCTTGAAACGCAAACAGTATTGGTCCTTAAACCTGGGGTCAAGGTCCTCGAGTGCCATACAAAAGTCCTTCTGCAATATAACCTGTATCATTAGACGATTCTGTTCGGCATAATGAGCTAGTACAGTAAGAGCCAAATCGACTTGTCGAAACCCTTCAGTGAGAGCCAAATCGACTTGTCGAAACCCTTCAGCGGTCAAATTAGTGAGGGCTTCGAAAGAGGGTTAAATTGAACATATCCCCAAACTAAAGATTCAGTGGCAGACTTAAATTT